GAAGGGGTAAAGGGTGAAGTAGGGAGGAAAAGGGAGGAAAGGTAGGGAGCAAAAAATAGGGAAGAAGGATGGCAGGAGAGGAAGAGAGTGGGAAAAGAGGGACCAAGGAAAATATATGGATTGGGGAAAAAAGTGTATAGATATGTGGGGGCACGTTCGTATTTCCCTTTCTTGTGTATGCTACTCGCCTTCGCCTTCATCTGCAGCCTGCGTCTCCTTCCCCCCCCCTCCCCCCCCTGCCTCCCCCTGCTTTTCCTCCCTCCCTTCCTCCCCTCCCTCCCTCCCCCCTTCCGTTCCCCTCCCTTTCCCCCTCCCCCACCCTTCCTTTCCTCCTTTCCCCTCCCCTTCCCCCCTCCACTTTCCCTTTCCTCCCTCCCCCCCCTCTCCCCACACCTGCCTGGCCAGCGTGTGTTATGGCTCCCTTGTGCACGCCGAGTTTTTATCGTCTCGCCACAAGTGCTCCCAGCACCGAATTTAACCTCGGCTCGCCCCCTCCCCCTCTCCCCTTCTCCTCCTCCCTCCTCCCTCCTCCTTCTCCCCTCCCATCCCCCTGTCTCATCCTCCCTCCCTCACCCTGAACCATCCTCCCTCCTCTCCTCTTTCCTCCCTTCCCCCATCTCTCTCTCCTCCCCTCTAACCCCTTCATTCTCTCTTCCCCCCTTTTCTTTTCCTCCTCTGATATTTAAAGGCTTGGAAAAAATAGGATGGGGCTGGGGGAGGTGGTATGGTAGGGGGGTGGGGGGGCTGGAGCGTGACCTTACTACCGGCGACTCTCATGCGGCGCCTTTCGAGTCATCCTTTCGTGAGGGCTGGAAGTCCTTTTCAAGTCCTTTTCAAATCCTTTTCAAGTCCTTTTCAAGTCCTTTTCAAGTCCGAGGTGTATTCATATTCTTTTCTCGTTTCACGCTTTCCTCTCTCCTTTCCTCGTTAATTGAAACTGTTTTTTTCACTTTGAATTTTTTTTTTTTTATGTATGTTCACTAGACATTCCATACACATGTTCATACACGTGAGCGCGCACGTGAACCTGGGATCTCTCCACCACGACACACAAAATATAATGATATATAATAAACAAGTTCCCCCTGTCAAGATTTCCGAGTGACGACGTGTTCCTTATATTCACATAGCCCTCTCCTTCCTTTATCTCTTCGTCTCTATACTATATCCTAAGCCTATTTCCTCGTTTTCACCGTCTCCCCTCCTCTCTTTCTTTCTTTCTCTCTCTCTCTCTCTCTCTCTCTCTCTCTCTCTCTCTCTCTCTCTCTCTCTCTCTCTCTCTCTCCTCTCTCTCTCTCTCTCTCTCTCTCTCTCTCTCTCTCTCTCTCTCTCCTCTCCTTCCCTCCCTCCCTCCCTCCCTCCCTCCCTCCCTCCCTCCCCTCCCTCCATCCATCCATCCCCCCTTTCCCTCCCTCCCTATCTCCCCTTCCTCCCTCTTCCCCTCTCCTCCCCTTCCCTCTTCCCCTCTCCTCCCCTTCCCTCTTCCCCTTATCTCTCCCTCCCCCTCCCCCGTCTCCCACCCCTGCACTTTGCACAACATCCTGCGAGCGGGCGCCCTTGAGGGCTGGCCCAACGGATCCGCCACCTGCCCTGCGTGACCTTCCTAGGATCCACCAAGGGCGCCTCTCCATCCCCTGCGCGGCGGTGGCGAGCGGGCCGGACGAGTTCTTGGGAGTACTCTCGCTTTTTTTTTTTTTTTTTTTTTTTTTTTTTTTTTTTTAGCTGGAATTTGGGGTTTAAACTTGTACGGAAGATACGGGTTGTTCGGTTTGGGTGGGGTGTTCAGTGGGCTGAGTTTTGTGGTTGGATGAGGTTGGTATGATTCGTATGGTATTAGACATACGCACATAGACACACACACACACACACACACCACACACACACACACACACACACACACACACACACACACACACACACACACCACACACACACACACACACACACACACACACACACAGAAAAGAGGGAGAGGGAGAGGGAGAGGGAGGGAGAGGGAGAGGGAGAGGGGGAGAGGAGAGAGGGAGAGGAGGGAGAGGGAGAGGAGAGGGAGAGGGAGAGGGAGAGGAGAGGAGAGGGAGAGGGAGAGGGAGAGAGAGAGAGAGAGAGAGAGAGAGAGAGAGAGAGAGGAGAGAGAGAGAGAGAGAGAGGAGAGAGAGAGAGAGAGAGAGAGAGAGAGAGAGAGAGAGAGAGAGAGAGAGAGAGAGAGAGAGAGAGAGAGGAGAGAGAGAGAGAGAGAGAGAGAGAGAGAAGAGAGAGAGAGAAGAGAAGAGAGAGAGAGAGAGAGAGAGATCTCTGAACTCGCTTTGCCTCTCCTCTCGCAGCCCAAGTGCGCCGCGTCCCTTGGGAAGCGCCAGAAACGTTTTTCGGGTTCGCAAAATGAAACGGGTCTCGGAGGAAGCGGTTTAGCGAGGTGGAATTCAATGGCGGCGCAGATGCTAGGGTAAATATGTTTTGGGATGGATATCCATTAATAAGATTAGATGCATAGGCGATACTGTTTGTGTTTGCATGTGTGCGCATACATGCATACTTGCATAACTACGTTCATACATGCATATATTCATTCATTATTATATATAATATATATATTAGACAATTGCACAAATATACAATATTATAACACACACACACACCACACACACACACACACACACACACACACACACACACACACACACACACACACACACACACACACACACACACACACACACACACACACACACAACACACACACACACACACACACACACACACACACACACACACACACACACACACACACACACACATACACACACTATTGGAAACGTCCGAAGTCGTTTTGAATCCAAGGGAGCCAATCAGCGAGCTCCTGATGGCTTTCCAAGGCGCGGCGGCCGGTCTCTGGTCTCCGGGCATCAGCTGCTCGTCCGCTTAACATGCCCGGCCAAGACCCGCGACGTTCCTGCAATCTCTTGCAACAGGGCTTGCATGGTTGGTTTCCTGGGGAACAATGGCGAACCGACGAGGCCAACTTGCTGGAAATCGAAAACGGGAAGAGTGTTTGGATTTTACGTCATTTAGGTTGCGGCTGAATGCGGAATGTGTGCGTTTTATCGAGGTGTGTTTGGCACGGAGACGGGCAGGTGGAAGCGTCACCTGCCGCAGTCGGCACCGACGCGAGGGACGTTTAAAAAAGGCCGCTCTTGTGCACCATCTGTCGCTGCAAGTTAAGAGAGCGATTGTGGTTCGTCATTATGTCTTGAATTGGTCGTCGCAAGGGAACGTTTTTTGAGGGCGTCCCGGTCGCCTTACTCTCACTGCCACGCGGTGCAATATCAGGTGACAACGTCGTCGGGAACATCTGATTTGCCAGCGATTATAAGTTATCGTACGCGTGGCAGGAGGCGCGCAGGTGGTGGCGGGCTCCGAGGAGTCAGGCAGGCGCCACCTAAAATCGGGCATGAATACGGGTAACCGCCAACTGCTCGCCGCGACGACGAGCGGTTCTCATGGCGCACCGTTTCCTTCATGGCGGGCGGTGGTGGCGGGTGGCGGGAGGGGGGGGGAGGTAGGGAAGGAGGAGCGAGCAGGGGGAGAGGATTGGGGTTGACCAGCTGCGATTTCTGTCCACTTGATACTGGGCGTGGTGGAATTCGGGTGGGGAGTGGGTCGAGATTGATTTGATTCGATTTGACTTTTTTGTTTTGGATGCCACTGCTGTTTCTTTGTGATTTGCATTTCCATCTCCATAGCATCTCCATTATCGTGTATTACCATATTCATTAAGTGTATCACTTCTGGGTTATTACTAATTTCAAAAGCTATTATATGATATTTATCTCAAACATAGCCTCATCCAGAATAAATATATTTTACATTTCTCTCGGCTTTTCAACGTAACCAATAAATCACTTATGCAAACACCCCGTAAATATTAATTACGAAATACAATGAAAACATACGAGAAAACAACAAACACATTTGCCCCTTGTTTTTCTTTCTCATCTGCTCTGGAAACGAGAGACGGTGTAATGAAGTTTATTCTAATGAACCGTATACCCGACGGACTGTATGGTAATGAGAGAAGTACTAATTAGGTTGTAAGGTAAATGGATGAATTCGGGACGTAATAGAGTCCTTTAATTAGGTGAAAGTCGATGGCAGTTCTCACTTTCTTTTAAATGAGTGACATGACAATTCGTTGTATAGTATAATTAGTTCGAAGCTCATTAGACAGGAGGTACAATTAACGCTTGTTGCAGAGGGCGAGGGAGCGAGAGAATGTTTGTTTTTGCTTTTGTTGGCGATGTTGTGGCTAATTAAAGTTGTTGTTTGAGGTTGTCAAAGTTGTTTGAGGTTAACAAAGTTGTTGGTTGAGGTTGTCAAAGTTGTTGGTTGAGGTTGTTAGACTGGAAATTTACAACAACCGAATAGCTTTACGATTTCCAGTTTGTTTTATGACTACTAATTCAATTTCAAAAGAGTATTCGAGTGAGATGACTACAATAAAGGTGTTTTTCCTTGAAAAAGTAATTAATTTTTTGTCCTCCTTCATAAAGTTTTTACAACTGCTTAGTGTTTTTCCAACAATGTGATTCAGTTCCTACGGTAATTCTAGAATAGACTTAACGTTATTATTATTATTATTATTATCATCATCATTATTATTATTATTGTTATTAGTAATGATGATTATATTTATATTATTATTATATTATTATTATTATTATTATATTGTTATTAATTATTATTATTATTGTTATTGTTATTATTATTATTATTATTATTATTATTATTATAATTATTTGATTATTATTATTATTATTATTGTTGTTGTTGTTGTTATTGTTATTATTATAATCATCATTATTATTGATAGCTGTAGTAATAGTAATAGTAGTAGTAGTAGTAATGATTTAATAATATTAGTATCATTACTGTATATTAGGCACTCAAGAACGGTTAGTCCAGCCCACTAACGCTTCCCTTTTCCCCGTTCTCCCCAGCTGTGTGTGATGAGAGCGGCCCCGTCATCGTCGAAGAACCTGACAACCGCGTGGACTTCAGCAACTCAACCGGCGCCAAGATTCACTGCTCTGTTCGAGGACGACCCGCCCCCTCCGTCGTCTGGGTTCGCGCTGACAATGGCTCCGCTATCGGTGTTGTTCCTGGTCTCAGGATGGTGAGTCTCGAGCTAGTTGGGTTGTTTTTTTATTTTTGTGTTTTTTGTTGTTTGTTTTTCTTCTTTTTTTTGGTCTGTTTTTTTCATTCTCTTTCTCTCTCTCTCTCTCTCTCCTCTCTCTCTCTCTCTCTCTCTCTCTCTCTCTCTCTCTCTCTCTCTCTCTCTCTCTCTCTCTCTCTCTCTCTTCTTTTCTTCCTTTTCTTCTTCTTCTCCTTCTTCTCCTTTCTTCTTCTTCTTCTTCTTCTTCTTCTTCTTCTTCCTTCTTTCTTCTCTTCTTCTTCTTCTTCCTCCTCCTCCTCCTCCTCCTCCTCCTCCTCCTCCTCCTCCTCCTCCTCCTCCTCCTCCTCCTCCTCCTCCTCCTCCTCTTCCTCTCTCTCTCTCTCTCTCTCTCTCTTCTCTCTCTCTCTCTCTCTCTCTCTCTCTCTCTCTCTCTCTCTCTCTCTCTCTCTCTCTTCCCTTCTCTTCCCCTCTCCTCCCTTTCTCCCTTTCTCTCTTCTCTCTCTCCCTTTCTCCCTTTCTCCCTCTCTCTCTCTCCATCCCTCCCCTTCGATTCCCCCACTCCTACTCATTCACTGTAATTTGCGAATATGTTTGACCTTGATAGCATAAACTCACCCATCCAGATTTACATGCTGCACCCGCACATTTACACGCACCCTTACCCGCACACCCGTCCATTTACCCCTGGCGAAGATAACCGACTATTTATTTTTTATCTGTGCCAACCCTTCAACACCTGCTACTCTCGTCCATCGGGGCATTTTCGTGGGGTTTTAAGAGCGCTGATAACACGCTATGGCTCTATCACTCAGTCTGGCCGCTTCATGTCTGCGAACGCTTATCGTCTGCGGATACTTTACTTTCTGGCAGGCGGCGGGGGTGCATTTTGGTATTTTTCTTTTGGGCTCTGCTTTTTGTTATTTTGGGGGGAGTTTAGGTTTTTGTTTTGGTAGTTGTTTTCTTTCGGGTTTCCGTTTTTTTTTTTTATTGTGGGTCTTTTCTTTCAGTATTTAGTTTTTTTTCTTCTGATTATCCAAAGGGATTGCCATTTTGGTTGATTACTCCTTTTCATTTTCTTCACATACTTGTCTTCAGATTCTTATATCTAGGAACACATTGACGCACTCATAGCCGCACGGTTGCACGCGCGCACTGGGTCACGCACACACGCACACACACACACACGCACATACACACACACACACACACCATACCCACTTCACTCAAACAAACAAACACAAAGAAGAAACCGATAAATCTCCACCCCCCCCGCGACTCACCCCGTGTCCCTCGGCCTTCCCTCCCGCAGGTTCTCTCCAACGGCACCCTGATCTTCCCTCCCTTCCGCGCCGAGGACTACCGCCAGGAAGTGCACGCCCAGGTCTACCGCTGCCAGGCCTCCAACTCCCACGGCACCGTTCATTCCCGCGACGTCCACGTGAGGGCAGGTAAGGAGGAGCTCGGAAGGGCGTTGGTGGGGGGGAGGGGTTTGATGGGGGAGGGGGGGTTGAAGGTGGCGTCTTTCTCTCTTTTTTGGGGTGTGGGTGTGATTGTGTATTTTGTGTTTTGTGGTATATGGTGAGAGTGAGCGAGTGTGAGTGAGAGTGAGAGTGAGAGTGAGAGTGACGAGTGAGTAAATGAGAGAGATGAGTAAATGAGAGAATGAGTAAATGATGAGAGAATGAGTGAGTGAGAGTGAGAGTGAGAGTGAGAGTGAGAGTGAGAGTGAGAGTGAGAGAGTGAGAGGAGTGAGAGAGTGAGAGAGTGAGAGAGAAGAGAGAGAGAGAGAGAGAGAGAGAGAGAGAGAGAGAGAGAGAGAGAGAGAGAGAGAGAGAGAGAGAGAGAGAGACGCCATTTTCCGTAGCTAGAAGTGTTGGCCGATTAATGACTGAAATTCAGTACATGCCCCCAAATAAAAGAAAAAATACAAAGAGAGATACTTAAAAAAAAAAAAAAAAAAAAAAACAGCCACCCACGAAGGCTAGATAACTCTCTCCCTTAAAATTAATCCCAATAAAAAGAAGGACCTAAAAAAGGGTACTTGGCCGTCCTAACGCGCTCCTAAAAGCCGGCGCTGTCCTCGAGGCGCGTCATCTGCGGCCGTCGTGGAGGACAGCGCACGCGGCCTTTTACGAGCTGGCGAGGCGGTGCCACATTAGTCGGCCATCACTGCCCTGTGGCACTCGGGGGGGAGGGGGGGCGTTGCGTTGCTGGTTCGACATGCGTTTTCGTGTGGCTTTTTTTTCACTTTTTATTCGCCAAATGAGGAAATTTTGAGATTGAGAAATTCATTTAGTGATTCATGTCACAATTTACCTCTTCGTTTTTTTGTCTCTTATTCACATTTTGAAAATTGTTTAATCACTTTAATGATGACTTTTTTTTCCAATGCGAGTGATGCAGTGTATTTGAAAGAGGCTTTGGAGATGCTCACGATCGCAGGAGTCGAGTCAGCAACTTTACGGAGTGTTCGTGTCAGGCCATCACGATCTTGGTCCTTCAGAAAGGGTTAAGCTTTTACTAGCTGCCCCATATATTTTTTAAAGGTCATAGAGGTGAAGCCTAACATGAATTAGAAATGGTAATTAGTCGGATTTCAGTCACTGCAAACTTTGATAGCGTGCTGTATGTTTCAAAGTAGATACGGTCATTTTAAGTGTGCACTTCCTCAAGAAATGCATCGTGTTGAACTCGACTGTTTCTTGCAAGGCAGCCAGTCGAACGAGTTCTTGCGAGCACTCCGTAACGCAGCGAACCCTCTTTAGTCAGGCTAGCCGTAAGGTGTGACGACGGGTAGGAACCATCAGCCGAAGCAGCCCTCGGCACGTGCTGTCGTAAAACCTCAGGGGACTTCATGCTGCGTCTGCTACATGCGCTCTGGGAGAGTGTGTTTGCGCGTGTTCTTGGTGGGATGTTCGTTGGGGGGTTCTTATGAATGTGTGCTAGGTTTTGATGTGTGTGTCCTAAGGATTGTGGGTTTGGTGTATGTGTCCTTTTCATGATTAGGGTAAATGGATGTCCAGATGAGTATGTTGCAGGATTTGGATAAAGTGACCAGAGGAGTGGGGAGTGTGTGATCCAGGGTGGGAGTGTGTGTCTTTGCGGAAGTTTTTCTAGATTGGAAATGTGTTCTTTATCAGGTAGTGTGTATCGCGAACGTGCAATGTGATAGCCAGAGTCATCGGGAGCAAGTATCCTAAGGGGGGGATATATGTCATAATTGGAGTGCCTGGTATGGGTAGGGAGTGTGAAAGCGTACCGGTTGCGGCCCTAAGTCCTCTCCCAGTTCGTGGTAGACCGCGGGAATTTCTGCAGCTTGTAATGGTGGTTAATGACCCATTGGCGCTGGCTTGCTCAAACGCTAATGGTGTTTTAACTCGTCAGAAGTAGACGGGCGATGGTTCCTACCCCGTTAGTGTAAGCGATTATGGCCCTTGTCCCCAGTGAATTTAAGGGTCTTGGTTATCATTTCTGTACTTCATAATCATCGTGTTCACCCTTGTGAATCTGAGTGTATTATTTGAAGTGTTTATATTCATGATCATATGTAATTATATACATTGCATCCATCACATTCACCATGTATCACGATTACTCCTCCGTGATGACCCTGATTCATCACTGTTAATGTTTATTGAACACGTTGTTCAAGGTAAGTGAACAAATATATATATGATATTCACCCACGTACTCTCCGCTCTTCCCTTTCTTTTTCTGGCCATTCGCCTTTCGTCTGGCTCACCTTGTTATCACTCTCCTTCCCACGCGCCATTGATAAGCTTTCCATGACTCCATCATTGCAAGTTCCCGTGACGTCACTGTTGCTTTAGCTTGACGTCACGGGTTGACCTCGTCTTCGCCGGGGTTGTGATCTTCCCAGCATCTCTCGCGGGATGCTGCTGGGAGACTGCTGGAAGACGGAGCAGTTCTTCTTGTTCTGTTATTATACTGATTTATCATGCTTGTTTTATTGCATTGTCGTTCACCCCCTTTCCTATTTATAAGGACTTTAGAGAATAGACGCTTCTCATTTTTTTCTCCCCGCCTTGGGGGAAAAAATCCCCTTCTGTGAGAGATCTATTTTCTCTTACGTGAGGATGGATATTTTCCCATCCTCTTCCCATCCCTCTCCCCCTTCTTCCATCCATACCTATACCTTTCCTTCCTCCCTTCATTTCTCCCCTCCCTCCCTCATTCCTCCCTCCCTCCCTCCGTCCTCCTTGAATATGGCTGGAAAGATGGACAATTACCCTGTTCGGGCCAGCGTTTTAGGAGCGAGACCAAAGGAGGCGACCGACACTCCAGGACGTGTAATACCCCGCCACACAACCGCCCCTTTGCCTTGTTTTATTTTCTGAAGGGTGTGGAGAGGGGAGCAGGGGGATTTAGACCTCGGCGTATTTTTTGTGTTGCTCTTGTATACGGATGATTATCTTTTTTTTTCTTCTTTTTTTGGTTTATCTGTAATGTATGAGATTGGAGTTTGATGCGAGATGCTTACAGGTACAGTTGTTCCTGGATGACGGTGTGGCTGAGACGGAGAGAAGCTGACCTTTATATATTTAAGAATTGCTTGATATGACCCCCATTACCTTCACCATCTTAAACTTAAAAAAGCAAAACAAAGAACGTCTATCTCCACCATTCCACGTTTCCCCCCAAATCGTATTTATCTCGAGGAGTGTACAGTGTAAATGGGACTCAATCTTCCTGGATAATAATGACCTCTCGCTCGTGGTTGTGGTTGGCCAGTGGTGTCCCAGTTCTACCAGACGGAGGTGAACAACGAGCACGTCATCAGGGGTAACTCGGCCATCATTAAGTGCGTGATTCCGTCCTTCGTGGCCGACTTTGTCTCGGTGGCGTCCTGGGTCACGGACGACGGCCAGACCTACGTGCCGCAACACAAGGGCTATGGTAATTTTTTTTTCTCCATTATCGGCGAATTTTTTGGCGTCTGCGGTTGGACTGATGTATTTTTCCCCTATTTTCAGAGATTTTGTCTTTCTCCTGCTTATCTTGGGGGTCGCAGTGTTACTTCAATAAGGTTTTCTACCCTCCTTCCCCAACGAAGGCATTGGATGCCAAAGGTCGATCGATTTTTGTGATTATTAAACGCTTTTTTTGCCACCTCCTTCACCCCCACCCCCCTCCCTAGTGGTGAGCCAACAGTACGAGACCGACGTAAACAAGGAGCACGTGATCCGAGGAAACGCCGCCATCTTGAAGTGCGTGATCCCCTCCTTCGTCGCGGACTTCGTCAGTGTCACTTCTTGGGTCACAGACGCAGGCGAGACCTTCTTTCCCTCGCAGCAATACGGTAATGATGCGAGAGCGACGTCGGGATTCGCTAACCGATTCCGAAGGGGATTCTGACGTTTTTTCTTCTCTCTTCCAGATTTCAGGGTCACGACGGGTTTATCTACCCTTGCGATAACCACAGATTTGGCTTTCTGTCACTAACCGATTCCGAAAGGGATTCCAACGTTTTTCTTATCTTTTCCAGATTTCAGGGTTGGGACAGATTTATCTACCTTTGCGATAACCACGGATTTGGCTTTCTGATTTCAGGTCCGGCTGTATCGGATACACTCTCCTTAATCGAAGCTGTTAGCTGATTACTCTCTTAATCAACCTCGATTTTGAAACCACTTTTAACGAATGCTCTCCAAAGAATGACACTTTTTTCATCCAAAGGAAAATCCCGCTTCGTTGAAACGTAAATGGAAATAGACCGAAAATGAATGGAAGGAAAATAGAGAGGAGTGCCGTGCATGAAGTGAAACAGATAACGGGAGAGTGATAAAAGACGGCCGCGTGCAGAGGGCTTTGTGGACCTACCGTTTCCCAGATTAAACTTGCTGCTGCTTTTTTTTTCTTTTTCTTCATTTTTATTTCTTTTATTTTGTGTGTGCCGTATCTCTCTCGATATCTATATAAAACGTTTATCGGTATGGGAGTGCAAAAATTATTGCAGAATAACGAATATTATTTTCTGGAATAATACTATTGGTTTCTCGGTTGTTTGCGTCTGTTGTCTTTTTAAATAAACAAGATTTTTTTTGAAGTGGCTGGTAGGTGTTGTAAAGTAGAGGAGAGAGAGAGAGAGAGAGAGAGAGAGAGAGAGAGAGAGAGAGAGAGAGAGAGAGAGAGAGAGAGAGAGAGAGAGAGAGAGAGAGAGAGAGTGAGAGTGATGGAGTGAGTGATGTGAGTGAGTGAGGTGAGTGAGTGAGTGAGTGAGTGAGTGAGTGAGTGAGTGAGTGAGTGAGTGTGTGTGGTGTGTGTGTTGTGTGTGTGTGTGTGTGTGTGTGTGTGTGTGTGTGTGTGTGTGGAGTTAGTGAGAGTGAGAGAGAGAGAGAGAGAGAGAGAGAGAGAGAGAGAGAGAGAGAGAGGAGAGAGAGAGAGAGAGAGAGAGAGAGAGAGAGAGAGAGAGAGAGAGACCGAGACC